TTGACATGACAGCTGGCTGAACATTGAAGAGGGATCTTTGCATACTTTCCATTTTCAGATAGAAACTGATGTACATAGTTTTGTTGGGAGGGAGCAGAGGAGCGGATTTCTTTCTCGCCCAGGTTGGAATGCACCGCCAGAAACACATTACAAACTTTGGCAGTAGCATTCTATTAAAAAAAGAAAAACTTCTTTTTCTCCCTATTTTGTTTGAAAAGCAGAAAAACAGACACAGAGACCTTCCATCCACTGCTTCACACCTCAGATGCTGTGACAGTCAGAGCTGGGCCAGTCCTAAGTCAAGAGCTCAGAACTGAGTCTAGGTCTCCTTTGTGGGTGGCAGGGACCCAAGTACTTGAGCCATCACCTGCTGCCTTTCAAGGTAACATCTTAGCCAGAAGCTGGACAGAAGTGGCGGAGCTGTGACTTGAACTAGGCACTCCAGTAAGCGATATGCGGGTGTCTCAAGGCATGTCTTAACTGCTGTGTCAGATGCCCACCCCTGCAACATTCTACTCATGTAAGCAGGCTGCTGGGCTCAGTGTGTTTCATGCAGTAGTCCACTGAGTGCTCAAAACAGTGCTTTATTTTCATTTTACAGATAAGGACTTATTCCATGAGCTCATGTGATTTGTAAATGGAGGCACTGGGATTTTAACTCAGGTGCTCTGAATCTAAAGTCCATACCCTTAACCACTACACTAAGGATAACAGTGCACATTCAACCAAAATACTGATTTTCTCATAGGGTAACAGTGGTCAGAAGCATTGAAACCACATTTGATAACTGAACATGAAAGTAGAGACAACCAGGCATCAGCAATAAAACCATCAGAAGGCATTTGAAAGGGTCCAGAGAAGAAATTTATTTTGGGGGATATCCGGACAATAAGAAGGGGTCTATATTTTCAGGTGAAAATGAATGAAAATTATTAGGACAATTTTTATCTCATGGTTTTGAGCTAAAATTGATTGGTTTGATACTTTTTTGCCACCAAAATGCTAGTGATTTGTTCTCTCCCACCTCCAGTCCACTGGACTGTACCCCATTACAACTATTTCTAGTTGTCCCCAAGGGTTTCTTTTTTTTTCTTTTCTTTTTTTTTTGACAGGCAGAGTGGACAGTGAGAGAGAGAGACAGAGAGAAAGGTCTTCCTTTTGCCGTTGGTTCACCCTCCATTGGCTGCCGCGGCCGGCGCGCTGCGGCTGGCGCACCGCGCTGATCTGGTGGCAGGAGCCAGGAGCCAGGTGCTTTTCCTGGTCTCCCATGGGGTGCAGGGCCCAAGCACTTGGGCCATCCTCCACTGCACTCCTGGGCCACAGCAGAGAGCTGGCCTGGAAGAGGGGCAACTGGGACAGAATCCGGCGCCCCGACTGGGACTAGAACCCGGTGTGCCGGCGCCGCTAGGCGGAGGATTAGCCTAGTGAGCCGTGGCGCCGGCCCCCAAGGGTTTCACATGTGCTCTGAAGAAGTGCGATGCTCTCAGGTCCCCCTGTTGACCTCCTGTGTATCCTAAGCTTTCCACTCTTTCCTCTGGGCATCTCTGATTGTCTCTTGTTCACTGAGCAACAGTTAGATACAGCCGTGTCCATCTGTGCCCACCTCACGTTGGTTGTGGTCTCTGCCCTGCCCTGACAGTGATGCACCATGCCCCAGGCTGACTTGAGGTTTTGTGCCCTGCACCAGTTGGGGAATGCCCAGTCTCCAGCTTCTGGTTCCAGCTTCCTGCTAATGTGCACCATGGGAAGCAGCAGATGATGGCTCAAGTTGTTGGGTTTCTGCCGCCCATGTGGGAGACTCGGAGTGAGTTATAGGCTCCTAACCTCGGCCTGGCACAGCTTTGGCTATTGTGACATCTGGAGAGTTAACTAGCAGAATGGAAGATCTCTGCCTCTGTCTCTCTGCCTTTCAGAAAAAATATATAAAATGATACACATATGTATAAGCATTATAATTTAAGATATAGTATGCCACTCTTGATTAAAAGCCATTTTCTTTGAGTTGGCACAAATTGGAGTTCTATGAAATCTTATATAATCATAACCTATTTATGGATTCTGTTTCATTTAAAAAAACTAGATATGTGAAATGATGGATATTTAAAGCTATTTTTCCTAATCTCCCGGAGTCATCTTGCCTACACCTCATTTTTTTTTTCTGGCAACTCACCCTCATGGCATCTTTCCAAAGCCGTCAACCTAGTTTTCATAGCAATAATAACTCCTCATTTCACAGTCATTGCATCAGCTCATGCACTTTGAAATTAAATCACATAATTAGAGTAATAGACACAATTGCTTCAAAAGCTTTGGAAACAAGCATGACTGCTTCTTGGTGACATGCAGCTCAACTCTGGTAACAGCAAGGCTTCCACCAGCTGTGAATGTGTGTGTGCCCAAGTGACTTGCTGGAGTGGGGTCCTGGTGAGGCTGGGGAATGAGCCACCTGCAGGCTGACACAGGAGCTGTGTGGCAGCACTGTTGTAACTCAGGCACAAGAAAGGCAGGGTACAGTTCCTCACCTGTGAAGGCAGTGATTGAGGGCTTGGCCTGACTGCTCAGACAGGCTTGGGCAGGCCTGCACCCCAAAAGTAGGCCAGGCCATAAACATTTACAGTCTTCAGAACATTCCCAAACTCTGTTCTTTCTCTGCAGGTGAACAGGACCCTTCTGCTTCTCTTCGTGTATACACAGGCTGATTCTTGTACCTGAATCACCAGATCATTGGGAAACAAGGCTTCTGTTTCCTTAGGCTGTGAAAGCTGGCTTTCTGGACGCCAGGCCAAGCCAGAACTTAAAATGTAACTTTTACTTTGGCGCCACCCAGTGGTTAGTTTTGAAATGTCACGCCCATGAAGAAGATTGCATGGCAAATACATAATGCTTAAACAACAACAACAAAACAAAAATGAAACAGAAACAGAAACAAAAAGACCTGGGAGGACTAGGCAGGTCACAAAGCATTTTTAGGGTGGTGACACTGTCCTGTTAGCTACCACAGTGGTGCGCATGGCTCATCAGACATCGGTCCGAGCCCCAGAGGGATCAGGAGTGAACCCTAACATCACAGTGGACTCTGGGTGATAAAGCTGTGTCAGTATAGACCCATCAGTTGTAACAAATGCACCACTCTAGTGGGGGGGGTGGATAACCAGGGAGGGTGTGTGTGTGTGGGTGTGGTGGGGGCAGGGGCTATCGGAGAACTCTAAACTTTCTGCTCAGTTTTGGTACGAACCAAAAATTGCTATAAAAGACAAAGTTTATTAATTAAAAAGCCCTTCCAGTTTATATACATTTTCCCTCCCAGCTGCTGGTGGTGTAGATAAGAGCAAGATAAGCCAGAGACATCATCTAGGGAGTCCTGCTGACTTCAAGTAGAGATGATGTCAAAGAGTGTGGCTCCTTCCCTTTGTAAATCCTGGAAACCTTTTATCTTTAATGTATTTAGAGTTGCTCAGTTTCCCAGGATATTATCATGCTCACCAAGCTTACAGGAGACACTTGTTGGTAAGGCTCAACGCCCATATATTACTTTACAGTTAGACATGTCTGTGTAGTGGTTGAACAAAACACGTGTGTTAGCTGAGCAGTTACAGATTATATCAAGTAGGTTTTCTGGTGAATTTGCAGTGGGATGGGGTGTGTGTGAGACATTATTTATTTTAAGGTTAGTACCATTAGGCTGGGATTGTCTTCACCACTTCAGGGATATGCATGATTCCAGCTGGGAACACCCTTTGCTGGGCAGTGCAGAGTCGTGGACAGTGCTGACGACAGATTGATCTATGCTTTTTCTTTGAGCTGACTCTGTGCTAAGCATCTGAGAATCCTTTCTTCCCCAAGGGCACAGCATAATGGGCAAGGTCAATGTTGCTTATTCAGCTCTAGGCTTCTGAGAACCTGCTTGGTCACCATGACTAGCATCTGGATGTTCTCAAAACTCATCAGCCACTATTTATAGGTGTTTACTTAGGGAGGGTCTACTCATTACATGATAATTTTGAGAAATTTCATTCTCAGAGAAGACTTATTCTGTCCCCAAATAATTAATGTGTAAAATCCTTAATAATTTTGGCATAAATTCCCAATAACAAAGTAGCACTTGATTGAAGATGGGAATTGTTAGTAAGAATGCATTCATGCAGACCATTTGATGTCAGTCTTACAAGCTTTGCTCAGACCTCACTACCTACTTGCACTTACCAGCCTGTCTTAGGAGTCTTCAGTGGGCCTCAGTTTCTCCAGTTCTTTGGTATAGAATCCTCCTCCCTGTATCCCTTTCCCCAAACTGCTGCTGCATAAGATTTTTAAAGTAAAGATTTATTTATTTGAAAGTCAGAGTTACAGTGAGAAAGATGGAGAGGGAGAGGGAGAGGGAGAGGGAGAGGGAGAGGGAGGGAGAGAGAGAGAGAGAGAGAGAGAGAGAGATTGAAAGATTGAGAGATTCTTCCATCCACGGGTTCACTCCCCAAATAGTCTCGATGGCTAGGGCTGGGCTGGCCTGAAGCCAGGAGCCTAGAGCTTCTTTGTGTCTCCTGCATGAGTGCAGGGACCCAAGTACTTGGGCCATCTTCCACTACCTTCTTGGGCTATTAGCAGGGAGCTGGATTGGTAGTGGAGCAGCCAGGTCTTGAACCAGTTCCCTTATGGGATGCCAGTGTCACTACTATGCCACAGCGCCAGTCCCTGCCTCCTTACTCTTATATGGAAGACTTTTTTTTTTTTCTTCCTTCACCTCCAGGCTTTCCCATCTGCACATTTCACAATTCTGTTTTCTTTTTGTAGATAGAACTCTATTCTCACAGAGGCTCCTATGTGAGAATAACAGAAGGCAGGTGAATTTATTTTATTTCAGGAAATTCTAGAAGAAGCATACTTTTGATGAATTCTCTACAATAATTGTACATAGTTTTGTGATAAAACCACATTGACTTTCACAGCAATCTGCTGGAGCTCTTTCTGAAGATATATGCCTTTTCCCATTTATTGCATGTTCACAGAAATCGGACCTAGGTCAAAAGCTGGAAAGTCATCAGTAGACAAAATCGAATCTGGAAAGGAGACACTTCGCCTGAGATCAAAAGGTCCTGCCACCGTGGAAGAAATGGTATATTATGTTCACTTAATTTTCATTCTGCTTGGAAAGGTATAGATATTCATGTCTATTAGAGCTGGAATTAAAGGTAAAATCAGTTAAATCAAATGCCATTCATTCTATTCAAAGCATGAATTTTAAATTCGTTGTCTGCTTAAATAATATGCAAATTATTGAAGGTTCTTATGAAGGAAATATATCAACTATGAGCAGGAAAAGAGACTTATGATGTGTAGGAATCTTTAGCTCTCTACAGACAGCTTTTTCCAGAGTGCATAGATCCCTGGACTGTCCAGAGAATTTAAAAAGAATCAACAAATTCTCTCTGAGAACCACAAAAAAGGATTGAATATTTTGTAGGCATCTTTACTCATCCTTTTCATGCTCCACATCGCATCCCTTCCACAACAAGTCCTGGTGGCTCTATCTCTGTCAGCTACCAGAATCCAACAGCTTCCCGCCACTTGCACTCTGCTGCTGTAGTGCCCTCGTCCCCCAGACACCATGGTCTCGACTCAGGTGTCGCAGTCACATACTCCATCTTCCTGTGTCTCCCTGCCCTCTTCCGGCTGTGCTGCCCTTTACAAACCCAAGTGAGATCATGGTACTTTCAGTTCACAACTTTCCAGGGGCTTCCCATCAAAGCTAAAATCCCAAGAGTACCTGACATGGTTTCACTCTGCATTTCTCTGACCTCACATCCCACCATGCTCCCCCAGCATCTTCTGCTTCAGCCATGGCCATCTCGTTGCTGTCTCCAAACACTCCAGATTATCCCTGCCTCAGGCCATCGAGTTGCTGTTACTTCTCTCTGGATGTTTTGCCCATTTATTTGCACAGCGTTGCTCTCTCACTGTTGTTGAGTGTCTACCCAAGTTATTACCTTATCTAAAAAGGCCTTTTCTGAGTTTCCTGCATAAATAGAAATTCTCTCCAGCCCCCTCTGCTGCCCAGTGTTCCATTTCCATGTCCTTAGTTTTCTTCAAAGCACTAAACACCATAGGACTTATTATATCTCTGTTTAATTTTATACATTTTCTAGCTCCTTAGCTCACATGTCTTATTTACTGTTCACATGTGTTGTTCAATCCTCAGTGCCTAGAATTAGTGCCTGGTATATAAAGGCACTCAAATCTCTGCTGTATTAATGAATTGGTTCATTTTAGCTTGAGAAAATCAAGGGTTTTGTTGATTGACTGTCTGTAGATGGGTGAATATCTGGATGAAAAATACCAGGAGGAGAGACATATGGAGGCAGAGGTAGAAGAAAACAGCAGGGATTGAGGTAGCCTTGGTAAGGACCCGCAGTGGTAAGCAGCAGGTCCACTCACAACAGCCAAGACAGTGGTGACGATGTCATTTTGTGGATGGGGATGGGGAGATGCTCCAGCAGGTGTCTGAAGCTCCCATGGTCAGGGCACAGGCATCAGGCCCTTCTCACTTCTCTCTGTGGGAATTCTGTCCCAGGACACCCTGTATGTTTGAAGAACAGAAGAGACAGGTGAACAATTAGGAGGCTGTTTCACAGTGGGATCCCAGAGCTTGTTCAGTGTTAATGTCCACAATCAGGCATGGAGGTGGTTTGTCAGAACAGACACTCAAGGAACCATGATGCCAAGGTTGTCCTTAGGAAGTGTCAAAAAGAATACAGAACAGTTCAATTTAACCAAGTTTCCTTGAGCAAGAAAAATGTTCTAGAACAGGGTAACATTGCAAATTAAAGATGATTTGGAATGTCCTCCCTCCATCCCCCTGCCTTACAATGTAAAGAGCTATTTTTATAATCAAAAAGACAGGAAATGATGTGGAGTTTACTTGATTGGTATAACAGTCTGACGTTTGCCTTATTTGGGTATAATTTGACAGTCTTCAGCCTGTGATTGGCTAAGGGGTGTGTTGCTGTGATTGGCTGAGGCTCAGTAGCTTAGTCACAAGAATGTATCATGAGATTAGGTTACAATCTACTTGCATATCAAGCTAGGATCTAGTTTACTACATACCAGAGGTTTTTTGGGCCAACTTTAGGCTAGCTCCTCCTTTAACTCAGAGGCTGGTTTAGTTCAGTGGAATGTTTGAGTCTCCGAGGGTGTTGTCTCTTTTGGGGAATCCAGAGAAAGATTCTGAGTTGGATGGGTTGGTCCTGGGAGTTAAAGGATTGATCTGGAGGCAAATGGCAATGAAGAGACCTGCTAGAGTCCAGGGCATTTTTTAGTGAGATATGATGAGGTGTGTGAAAAAACTCAGGGCAGCAATTTCTCATCATTTAAAATTAAAAAAAAACATTTTCATTTTATTTGAAAGAGAGATTTAATAAAAGAGACAGGGACACACACAAACACAAATCTTTCATCATTTGGTTCACCCCTCAAATTCCTGCTGTAGATGGAGCTGGGCCAGGCAGAACTCACCTGGGTCTCCCATGTAGATGACAGGGGCCCAAGTCCTTCACCTGCTGCCTCTCAGGGTGTACCATAATAGGAAGCTGGAATCCAGTGTGAAGCTGGGCCTCACACCCAGGCACTCTGATTTGAGATGTGCGTGTCCCAAGTGGCACCTTAGCCTCTGCACTAATCGTCTACCCCAGTTTCTGGTTATTCTGAGCCTTTCCTGTTATACTGTTTGGCATTTTGCTGATGGCTAGTGGCTGTTTACTGGCTGAATTGAATACCTCAGTGGAGAAAGGAGTTCATAGGGGAATGAAGTAACAGTGGGAAGGAGCTGGCAGTAGGGAGCCACAGGAATGCTAGCCCTGCCTTACACTTGAGGCTGAGAAGAAGCAGGTAGACTGTAAAATGGCTTGCAAAGGAAGCAGGGTCAGCGGGAAAACTCCCATGTCACTTCAGGGCCAGGATCATCTTGTAGTAGTTAACACAGTTAATAAATGTTTATGAAGCACCTGCTCGTATAAGGTGCTGGGATGAAAAAGGGTAGCTTAAGATCTCTCTGGAGAGATTTGAAGACAAACATCTAAAAATTGATTCCTATTTGCATAGCCTGTTTAATTAAATAGGGCAGTTAAAAATAGCTCATAATGAAAAGAAAAATCTAGTTTGCTGTTAATATTAAATTGGATACAAATGACTTAAAATCTAATTTCAAGCACTTACTGATTTAATGGATTTATAGGATTTAAAACAAATCATCTCCTTATAATCTACTATAAGTAGTGAAAACTGTGAAAGATATTCCTCTTACATGGCTCATACATTTTTCATTTCTATTTGCTGAGATGGGCATGTTCTGTGTACTAACATGGCAAAGACGAATAAAGACCTTGTTTTTCCTCTAAAGGGAAGAAAAGAGACAGCATACCAGTGGGCTAGAGTTAAGGATGATGTGCAGAGGATACCCAGTGTCACCGAGAGCTGCTGATCAACTGGTGTTGGGAACTGGGGGAAAGAAAGGAAGTGAGGGAGAGTTTCCTTCCAGAAGAAGTGATCGAGTTAGCTCAAGACAGGGAGAAGAGTGTTCTGGGCGGGAAACATGATGGCCCTGGGCACCTTATGAGCTGTCCATGAGGCTAGAGGTGGGGTGCTGGAAGTACCTGTGTAAAGAGGCTGGAGGTGTAGGCCAGGGTTAGGACTGAAGGTTCTTGTGGAAAATGGGAGAACAACACAATCAGTTTTGTGTTTTAGGAAACGCCCTTGGATCTAGGGGACAGTAGAGTTGAATAGAGTTGAGTAGAGTGAATTTGAGAGGGTGAGGACTTCAAGAAGGGAGACAACCCAGCAAACCTCTGCAAAGAAGGGAAGATGAGGGCTGAAGCTGAGAAAATAGAATGTGGATGGAGAAGAGGTGCTACGTCAAGAGCTATTTAGGAGTTAGATTGGTCAAAAACTGGTGGCCATTTATATACCAGGAGTGCTGATACTGGTTACCATAACTTATAACATGGCTAGATCAATCCAAAGGTTAATATCTAGGTTACTTTGCAAAGCTGTTGTTTTACACTGACAATTTAGAATTCACTAGAGTGAAGGCAAGAGAGATATGTGTTACTGTTTTTTAAGTCTTAGTCCTTATAAAAGTGTGAGAAAGTTTTACCAGCATCCTCAAAGAACATAAATTTTTATTTTCTTGGACTTGTATGACTTTAATAATAAAATATAAGAATACAAGATATTGTACACTTACAACTGTTTTAAGAATAATATGGAATTCTTATAATCTAACTGATCACAAATTCTACATTTGAAGCTATATTGAGTATTGAGCATCTTTGAGCAATCCCTTTTTCAGTTTATGAACCCATTTAAAACAAGGAATTGGAATAATCTGGGCCGGCGCTGCGGCTCACTTGGCTAATCCTCCACCTGCGGCACTGGCACCCGGGGTTCTAGTCCCGGTTGGGGCACCGGTTCTGTCCCGGTTGCTCCTCTTCCAGTCCAGCTCTCTGCTGTGGCCTGGGAAGGCAGTGGAGGATGGCCCAAGTGCTTGGGCTGTGCACCCGCATGGGAGACCAGGAGGAGGCACTTGGCTCGTGCCTTCGGATTGGCGCATCTGCCGGCCGTAGTGGCCATTTGGGGAGTGAACCAATGGAAGGAAGACCTTTCTCTCTTTTTCTCTCTCTCTCTCTCACTGTCTAACTCTGCCTGTCAAAAAAAAAATATGGAATTCTTATAATCTAACTGATCATGAATTCTACATTTGAAGCTATATTGAGTATTGAACATCTTTGAGCAATCCCTTTTTCAGATTATGAACCCATTTAAAACAAGGAATTTAATAATCTGAACATAAAACCATACTTTATAAATGTGAAACCAGGATTTTTTTAACAAAAGATTTATTTATTTATTTGAAAGGCAGAGTGACAGAATGAGAGTGAGAGACAGAGAGAGAGATTGAGAGAGATCTCCAATTTGCTGATTTACTCCCCAGATGGCTGAAATGGCCAGGAGCCAGGAACTCCATCTGGGTGACAGAGGCACAAGCACTTGGGTGATCATCCAGTGCCTTCCCAGACATATTAGCAGGGAGCTGAATTGGAAGTGGAGCAGCAAGAACTAGAACCTGTGCTCATAGGGGATGCCAGAATTGTAGGCAGTGGCTTAATCTGTTGTGCCACAATGCTAGATCCCAAAACCAATATTTTAAAAAAACCTTAAAACATATTCAGTCATGGTTTTCACTGAAATTTTTTTAAAAAAAATTATTTATTTATTTGAAAGCCAGAGTTAGGAAGACACACAGACACAGACACAGACACACACACACACACACACACAGAGAATCTTCTATTTGCTAGCTTATTCCCCACATATTCACAAAGGCCAGGGCTGGGCCAGGCTGAAGCCAGGAGCTTCTTCTGGCTCTCCCACATGGGTGCAGGGGCCTAAGGGCCATCCTCCACTGCTTTCACAGGTGCATCAGCAGAGAGCTAGATTGGAAGTAGAGCAACCAGGACTCAAACTGGCGCCCATATGTCATGCTGGCACTGCAGGTGGTGGCTTTACCCACTATGCCACAGCACTGGACCCCTTTACTGAAATTTTAAAAATGGTTTTAAGAACAAAAATATTTTGATATCTTTAATATATAAAGCAAAAACTATTCTGAAAATGTTATTTCCTTATCCTTATAAAATTTCCTTTTTTCATATGTTTTATATATACAATAATGAATATGCTGTGTATAATAAATATATGTCTATAGTTGATACACTATAAAATTAAATAAATAATAAAGGCTCGTGTTCAGAAGTGTTTTACTATTAGGGTGAGCCATAAGAATTTTGGAGAGAGATGTGGCATTTGAGAGAGGGGTGGGCATTTGTCCTAGTGGTTAAGATGCATGCATCCCACATTGGAGTACTTGGGTTTGATGCGTGGCTCTAGCTTCTCCTGATTCTAGCTTTCATAGCAGGTGATAACTTAAGTAATTGGATCCCTGCCACCTGTCTGGGGATGAGGATTGAGTTTTTGTCTCCTGGCTTTGGGCCCTCTTACTGTCATCATTTTGAGCATTTGTGAATGAACTGTTTGATGAGAGCTCTCTCTCTTTCTCTGCCTCTTGGAAAAAATAAAAAATATTTGGAGACCTTGGCTGTATAATAAATACCCACATTCTATTTCTTGCCACACAGGATCCCTTAAGATCTTGTCATGTTTGCCACTGTGTTCTGCAGTCACATGGGACTTCTTGAGTCCCTAAAACTATAATGCTATCATCTTCTACTTGAAGTGCTCTCCCCTATTTATTTGACACCTGTTCATCTTTGAAAATGCGGTTCATAAGTCGTGTACTTTCTGAAGTATTCTATTCTTAGATACATAAATTTGCTTCTTCCCCCTTGATGCCTCTATACATTTTATATCCCTTAAAATTATTACATAATCATTTATTTTCACATACATCTCCCCTTCTAGATTGTTAGCTACATGGAGATTGTGTTCCTGGCTTTTCTCTTTTGAGTCAATAATGCTGACACTAATTATTATATTGATTTATTTTTACTTACAGAGCACATTCTATATATACTGCCATTAGCATTAGCTCAAATACACAACCATGAACTGGCTCCTCATCAGATTTTACCCCATGCATGCCTAAACAATCAAGGGATTTCATTATAGAAATATAATATCTTCTTTCTCTCTTCTTTGATAAAGCCCTCTGAAGTCAATACAAAGGCAATTGAAAAAATTGATGATCTTCTTGAATTGTACATGGGAATTCGAGATATTGACTTAGGTAAGTTTTACTATTGTTAAACATCTCTTGATTTGGTGGAACTTTATGCTTAATTATGGCTTATTTGTTCTTATAGTCAATTATACTTTTCAAGATAAAAAGTATTTGAATATTAAAAAGAATAATGGGCAACAGAAGATGGCAGAGTAGGGAGGGAGTTTACTGCACTAGTCTAGGAGAAGATAGTTTGAATAAAGTGGAGAAAGTGTAGTCTCAGGGAAGATGTACAGAGAAAATGGCAGAGGAAACTAATGGGACAAATTAGAGGGACATCGTGGACCTATGTGGAAGGCATGGACATGCATGACTCAGGGCCCCAGCAGCTGAGAGCACCAGCATTGGAGAGTGAGGTGAGACCAGACTGTAGCAGCCCAAGCCACTGGCGATAAAACTAGAGGAAGAGCCTGTAGGGAATCTGGCTTGGAGCTCTGTGGTTGATAGTGTATCTGCCAAACAAGAAGAGAAAAAAAGGTGGAGCACATTTCTCTCTCCCTGATTACCCTGCAACAGCATCCTGTAACAAGCCTATGGAGAGTGGGCACCATTTTAGTCAGCACCCAGCTGAGCAGAGACTCCTGAGTCTGGTGGGGAGAACTGGTAGGGGGCTGGGTGCTCACGATTGTGGGAGGCTTGTGTTCCAGGACTGTGAAAATACTGAGGCTGTGTGGGAGGGATCAGGGTGTGGCTGGGACTTTGGGCAATCACTGTGGGAGGCTCCACATGCTCAGGGCTCCCTGGTTCCCTGATGAGGGACATTGCTGGGAAATCTGAGCTTATATTGAGGACTTCATAGATCCTTTGTGTGGCTCTTGTGACAGCGCAGATGACTATTGTACCCACTGGGACTAGTGTCCAAGCACTGGTCTCCTTTGAAGAGAGGAGATGAGCTGAGTCTATGCCAAAAGAGCAGAACAAACTTCCCCTCTGATTAAAAAAAAAAAAAAAAAAAAAAGAGAAGATTTACCATGCCCAATATGGGTGTCACCTTAGATACTGCTGTCACCTCAACACTGAACAGAGCTCTCTGGCCATACATACCACATGCCTCTAGGTATTCACTGAAAAAGTAGACACTCTACTAATCCAGAAGCATAGTCCAAAGATAAAAGCCACCACAGCAAGCAAAGAAACCAATGAGTATCTCCACAAATGCTGAATAATAAACTCAAAGAAACAAAAATAAGGAACACAATATGAAGTCTCCAAAAGAATACAACACTTCAATACTAGATTATGAAGATGAAGAGATTGAAGAAATGCTGGAAATAGAATTCAAAAAATTGATCATAGGAATACTTAGAAGTAATCTGAGGCCGGCGCCGTGGCTCAATAGGCTAATCCTCCACCTTGCGGCGCCGGCACACCGGGTTCTAGTCCCGGTCGGGGCGCCGGATTCTGTCCCGGTTGCCCCTCTTCCAGGCCAGCTCTCTGCTATGGCCAGGGAGTGCAGTGGAGGATGGCCCAAGTGCTTGGGCCCTGCACCCCATGGGAGACCAGGAAAAGCACCTGGATCCTGGCTCCTGCCATCGGATCAGCGCGGTGCGCCGGCTGCAGCGGCTGCCATTGGAGGGTGAACCAACGGCAAAAGGAAGACCTTCCTCTCTCTGTCTCTCTCTCTCACTGTCCACTCTGCCTGTCAAAAATAAAAAAAAAAAAAAAATAAGTACCACAAAAAAAAATTAAAAAAAAAAAAAGGAGTAATCTGAAGCAAATCCATGAACTAATGAAATCATACATGACGTGAAAGAAAATTTCTGTCACAAGTTGAGATCTTAAAGAGAAACCAAAATGAAATCTTAGAAATGAAGAATTCATAGGACAAATAAAAAATGCAGTGGAAAGCTTTAGCAACAGAATTGGTAAAGCAGAAGAAAGAATATCCAACTTAGAAGACAAATCAGGAAATTATACAGTCAGCCCAAAAACAAGAAGAAATTAGATGACTAAAAAAACATTGGTGGTAATCTACAGAATACTATCAAATGACTCAATATATGGGACTAGGAGTTCCTGAAGGTGTGGAAAGAGAAAGGATTAGAAGGCCTTTTTGGTGAACTAATAACAGAAAACTTCAACAATTTGGAGAAAGAAAGAGACATCCAAGTACAGGAAGCACATAGAACACCTACTAGACATGACTAGTAAAGATCTTCACCACGACATACTGTAACCAAACTTTCTGGAGTAAAACATTAAAGAAAAGATTCTAAAATGTGCAGGAGAGAAATGCCAGTTTACTTTCAGAGGATCTCCAAATAGACTAAAAGCAGACTTCTCATCATACCCTACAGGCTAGGAGAGAATGATGAGAGATATATTCCAAATCTTAAGAGAAAAAGTGTCAACTCAGAATACTTTACCCTGCAAAGCTCTCATTTATGAATGAAGGTGAAATAAAGACCTTCCATACAAACTGAAATTAAAATAATTTGCCACGACCCATCCAGCCTTGCAAAAGTTGCTTAAGGATGTGCTGCACATAGAAACACAGAAACATGGTCATCACTGTGAAAGAAGGTAAAGGCAGAAAATCTCCCGGTAAAACTACAAAGGAAATCCAAAGTAAAAAAGAGGAATATTTATGGAAAAATGGCTGGGTAAAGTCATTATCAATAGTCACTTTGAATGTAAGTGGCCTCAGCTCTCTAGTTAAAAGATTACAGACTGGCTGAATGGATTAAAAAACCAAAGCCCATCTATTTGCTGCCCATAAGAAACACACCTCAACAATAAAGATACATGTAGACTGAAAGTGAAAGGATGGAAAAATGTATTCCATGCTAACAGAAACCAAAGAAGAGCCGGTAGAGCCATCCTAATGTCAGACAAAATAGACTTTAACACACTGTTAAAAGAGACAAAGGGCACTATGTAATGATTTAGGGATTAATTCAACAAGAAGATGTAACTATTATGAATGTATAGGCACCTAATTAGAGGGCACCTGGCTAGTTATAAGAAATGTTAAGGGATTTAAAGCAAGACATAGACTCAAATACAATAGTAATACGAGTGTCAATACCCCACTTTCAGCAATGGACAAATCAACCAGACAGAAAATCAGCAAGGAAACAGCAGATTTAATCAACACTGTAAACCAAATGGACCTAACAGATATGTACAGAACTTTCTATCCTATAGCCACAGAACACATGTTCTTCTCACTAGTGCATAGAACTTTCTCTAGGATTGATCACAAACTAGGCCATAAAACAAGTTTCAGTAAATCAAAAATGTTGAAATCATACCATGCATCTTCTTGGACCACAATAAATGAAGCTGAAAATCAGCAACCCAGGAATCTCTAGAACATATGCAAACACATGGAGACTGAACAACATACTCTTTTATGAACAGTGGGTCATTGAAGAAATCAGAGGAGAAAGAAAAAAATTTCTGGAAACAAATGAAGATGCCAGTACAACATATCAAAACTTATGGGAGGCCGGCACCGCAGCTCACTAGGCTAATCCTCCGCCTGTGGTGCCGGCACTCTGGGTTCTAGTCCTGGTTGGGGTGCTGGTTCTGTCTCAGTTGTTCCTCTTCCAGTCCAGCTCTCTGCTGTGGCCCGGGAAGGCAGTGGAGGATGGCCCACGTGCTTGGGCCCTGCACCTGCGTGGGAGACCAGGGGGAAGCACCTGGCTCCTAGCTTCGGATTGGTGCAGCATGCTGGCCGTAACAACCATTTTGGGGGGTGAACTAATGGAGGGAAGACCTTTCTCTCTGTCTCTCTCACTGTCTGACTCTGCCTGTCAAAAACAAAACAAAATAAAACAAAACAAAACAAAACAAACAAAAACTTATGGGATACATCAAAAGCAATGTTAAGAGGAAAACTCATAGCAATTGATGCCTACATCAAGAAAATAGAAAAGGCACCAAATAAATGAGCTATCAGTGCATCAAGGATCTAGAAAAACAACAAACCAAACTCAAAATTAGTAGAAAAGAAATAATTAAAATTAGAGAAGAGATCAACAAAATTAAAACCAAAATAAGAATACAAAGGATCAGCAAAATGAAGAGCTATTTAAAAAAAAAATTGATACACCATTGGCCCAACTAACCAAAAAAAGGAGAGAGAAGAAGACCCAAATCAATAATATTAGAGATTAAAAAGGAAACTTAACAACAGATAACACAGAAAGAATCATCAGAAATTACTACAAAGAGCTGTATGCCAACAAACTGGGAAGCCTAGAAGAAATGAGTAGATTCCTGGACACATACAACTTACCTAAATTGAGCCATGAAGACATAATTCTGGCCAATTGAATCTAACAACACATCAGAAAGATCATTCACCTGGACCAAGTGGAATTTATCCCTATTATACAGGGATGGCTCAATATTCACAAATCAATCAATGTGATGTATCACATTAACAAACTGAAGAACAAAAATCATGGGGTGGCGCTGTGGCATAGTGGGTAAAACCACTGCCTGCAGTGCCAGCATCCCATATGGGTGCCAGTTTGAGACCCGGCTGTTCCACTTCTGATCCAGCTCTCTGCTATAGCCTGGGAAAACAGTAGAATATGGCCCAAGACCTTGGGCTCCTGCTCCCTTATGCGAAGATCCAGAAGAAGCTCCTGGCTTCAGATTGGCACAGCTATGGCTGTTGTGGCCAATTAGGGAGTGAACCAGTGGATGGAAGACCCCCCCCCCCCCCACCTCACTTTCTCTATGTAACTCTGACTTTCAAATAAATAAATAAAAATCTTAAAAAAGCATATTATCTCAATAGATGAGAGAAAGCATTTGATAAAATGCAATACCACTTCATGATGAAAACTCTAAGCAAATTGTGTACAGAAGGAACATTCCTCAACATAATCAAGGCAATCTATGACAAACCCATAGCCAGCATTCTATTGAGTGAGGAAAAGTTGGAAGCATTCCCACTGATATCTGGGACTAAACAAGGATGCCCACTTTCACCATTGCTATTCAATATAGTCCTGGAAGTTTTAGCCAGAGGCATTAGGCAAGAAAAAGAA